TGAATGTTTACACAACATGAATTAATATGGAAGACGTACAAAAAAACAATTACGCGTGTAGACTTTGCGTCAGACATTTAATGCTCGGCACCGTTTCATCCAGCAACACAGCGGTTCTATAGGGTTTGGTACCAGGACACTTCAGCATGTTGGGGAGGCTGAGGACTGAACCTCCAACCCTGAAATTCAGATTAGTCTGTGAGTTTAATGGGATGCTTGGGAGGGAATATTTTTGGCAAAATCACATCTGACAATTAGGGATCATCTTTTATTGTCAGACTGTCCATAACTGATAGTAGATAAACCAGTGAAGTACATCCCCAGTGTTTGTCTTCTCATCCACAGAACTCTTCTACGATAACTTTTTATATAAACATGTAGAAGTCACTGCAAGGGTTCAGAAACACGTTTTACCCGCTAATATGTAGGTGTTATTTTAAAGAGTAGGCAATGTCAGAAGGCACCTTAGTATAACTTCATTAGGGTACAATGTTTTTCCTCATAATTTCATCAGTATCTTGGCAGTGTAGCTGTTTTGAATTCACTTCCTTCCTTCATTGTGCCCATGTGTGCTGAGCTCATGCCAATAAATTTCAAGCCGTTTTCAAGCTTCATTTATCGTTGGCACTGAGACGTACTGGCTCTGTGAATGGGGAAGTTACCCTAACTCTGTCCCATCACTGCCCTTTTGTTTTCCAGAAGAGAGCTGAAGATCTCTCGAAGCTGCGGAACCCCAGTCACCCAGCCCAGCTTGCCGGGCCAGAGCCGCCAGAGGTACCGTTTGCGGGAAAAGAGCACGGAGCGGCGTTTGCCCACGATCAACTGCCAGACCCTGTAGAATCAATGGGTGACCTCCATACCCGCACTCACCAGCTTCAAGACGATAAGACACCTTACTTTGTCCGCACCAAAGCTGGAGCCCTTTGCTTCAGACAAGGGACGGAGGTGGCCACCCCAAAGGAGTACTCTGGAAAGTCAGGGGGTGCTGTGGCTAATGGAGGCGGGGAAGCTGGTCGAGCCGGTGCTGTGGGGCAACGGAAACCTCTGGAGCTCCAACAGCAGTCTTCCATAGCTCCAAAAGCCAAGGCGAGGGCCAGGGGCAATGGGAAGCGACTTGTCAAGTGTGTTTGTCGGCCGGGATGGCATGGACCTTACTGTGGGGTTCCCACCATGGTGTACCATTCAAACCTGCCAACCAAGGAGCGACTCACACCCAGAGAGACACCACGGAGGGTGATCAATGCCATCAATGTTAACCATGAGTTTGACCTGCTGCATGTACGCTTTCACGAGCTCGCCCAGGCCGTAGACCTGTTCCTCGTGTGTGAATCCAACTTCACCGCATATGGAGAGAAACGGCCTCTTAGGTAAGACACTAATTTTTTTTGAACAGGTGGATGTGTGGGGATTATTAAAGCTATGCCCTTGAGGTTAAGTTGTATTTCAGCGAGATGTGTAATCCCCTGCTGAGCTGCTCTGTGGCCATCAGTAGATGACTCTCTTTGCACCTGGCAGTACAGCATTGTAAAATAAAATGCATGCTCAGCAAAATTTAAGCTGGATTAAAGCCACCGTGGTGACACTGGTGTCACAGTGCAGTCATGAGAAGAACATGTATGCACATATATTATCAATCCAATTTCTTTTAATATCCATAAAGGAGTTTATTTGAGGTCACACTGCACACCAGAGAATCCCCGTTTTTGCTCTATTTTCACATTCAGCAGTTTAAAATTCAACAGTTACACACAATCGCAAATTTTTGCCAAGTTGTGACGCTGCTGGTGCGATGAGTAGTTACTGTTAACAGCTTGCAGTCTTCTTTTTTTTTCTTTTTTTTTATAGCCACCCTTCATGCTTCTTGAGAATCAGTGTCCTGAATAACAATTAGAGTTGGGTTCCTTTGGCAACAACATGAAATGTCTCGAGAGCAATTTTACACCAGATTATGACGAGAGACGCGATTGACTCTGCGTGTAGCCTTGAAGGGAGATTGGTATGTTCAATCATAGGAGGTGACACTGCATGAAAGCAGCTACACTCAGTGAACACTGTCTTTTGCTATGCAGATCAACAGGTTAATAGAGTTGTTTCCCCCTCTCAGTTTGCTGTGTGGTAAGTGGGTTTTCTGTACATTCTCCACATTTGTCAAACAAGCACCTTTCTGACCTGTTGTTTTTTTTAACTTTTCTGCTCCTTATTGCCAGTCTTTTGTAAATGATACAGTTTGGATGTTTTTTTTTCTTTTTTCTGATTTGTTTAAAAATCTATTAGCAGCCTTTTGAAACTTTTTGAGCTGTGTAATCCATCACAGTAAACATCGAGTCATTATGGCTGCATGGTAACATAACCTCAAGGCACCTATATGAGTTTTCTTCTAATGCAAGACAAATATGTTTATAATGTTTGACGTCTTTGGGTCCAACATGTGTGTCGAATCAATTTCCCTCAAACAATGTTCAAAGCAGATTTTTAAATGTGTTTTAAGAAATAAACTCAGCCCACATGTCCACTGACTAAATCACATGCTCAAAAAAGGACAGGATGGGTTCAAGTACAGGTTGATTTTCAAGGAACTGCAATCTTGCCTCGATACAAAACCATTTTTCAAGTATTAATGTGCACTTTCATAGATTGTACTCGAGCAACTCAAGCAAGTTTTCAGTGTTTACTAATATATTTATTAGGGATGCACGATATATCGGCGACCACATTGGTATCGGCCGATATTAGTGATTTTTTCCTATATATCGGTATCGGTCCGATGAACAAATTTAGCCGATGTGAAAAACCGATGATTGTCAAACGTTAGCGCCTTCGTCTCTACGTTTGATATTACTATTATTTCCCAGATGTTTTTACTTAAATAAGCCTGGGCTTGAACGTTAAATATGTTAAGATATGTTTTACTTTTGTTACATAATAAAGAAGACCATGTGGTCTAATTTGGGCTTCTTTTGAATAGTTTTCACCTTCTCACAGTGCTTACTTGTGCTCATTTTTTGGTGTGAACAAAAACTGAATATCGGCATCGGTAATATCGGTTATCGGCGATATCAGAAATATCGGATATCGGTATCGGCCAGGAATTTTAATATCGTGCATCACTAATATTTATCGACAATGTGGTAAAGAAGGGAAACCAACAGCTACACGCCTACAGCAGTAGGTAACATCAGAAGATCTAAATGCAGCTGGAAAACGGTGAACGGAACAAATATACAGCGTTTCATTTTGAATAAAAGATGGTATTTGTGATCTCTCCAGTTTCCTGCGGCTCCTCCTCAATGGTACGTATGACTACATACGTCACAAGATCCTGTACGTGTTCCTTGACCACTTCCCAGAGGGCGGTCGGCAGGACGGCTGGATCGCTGATGACTACTTGCGGACCTTCCTGACACGCAACGGCTTGTCCAGGGTGGTGGGAGCCAAATCAGACGACGTCTTCGTCATCAACGACGCAGATGAAATCCCAGCACACGAGGGCCTCCTTTTCCTTAAACTGTTCGATGGTTGGACAGAACCTTTCGCCATCCACATGCGCAAGGTAGCGACAACATATCAGCTGAATGTGTAATGCATGAAATTGAGATCATTTTTTTTGTTGTTGAAGTTATGCAGGTGTCTTTTTCATTTAAGACAAGAACACATGCAGCAGATTAACCGTATTTCCGATTCGTTAACACTCTCTTCTCTCTGTGTGCAGTCTTTGTATGGCTTTTTCTGGAAGCAGTTTGGGTCTCTAGAAGTGGTTTCAGGCTGCACGTTGGGGATGCTCCGCGAGGTCTACGACGGCGATGGCATCAAACTCCGCCGTCGCGAATATTACACCATGCCGGGTTTCCGCAAGTACGAGAACGACACGGGCCACATCCTGGTGCAGTGGTCGGTGGGCAGCCCCTTCCACTTCGCTGGGTGGCACTGCTCCTGGTGCTTTCCACCGGAGGGAATCTACTTCAAGCTGGTGTCAGCGCAGAACGGAGACTTCCCGCGGTGGGGCGACTACGAGGACAAACGTGACCTCAACTACATCCGTGATCTGATCCGGACAGGGGGCTGGTTTGATGGCTCCCTGCAGGAATATCCTCCCGCGGACCCCAAAGAGCACATGTACGCCCCCAAGTACATGCTGGAGCACTATGACAGGTACCACTACCTCCTGGAGAACCCTTACAAACAAAAAAGCCAGACTGAATGAGGGCAAGGAGTTCAGCTGCGGAAAACAAATATGTGAAATAACTAGTAGGGTCCAAGTACGGCCTCTGCACTGAGTTTTTTTGGGGTGGAACGGTACTGATGATCTACATCTGTCATAGGGGCGAAACTAAATGTATCTCCACCAGGCAGCGCTGATGTTGCAGGGATTTAAAATCTCTTAAATATCATTATTTTGGGGTCAAAAAAGGGAACACTGAATCACATCCACCACGGATCTACAGAGAACATCAAGAGGATACAACCACTGGATAAACAAAATCATAGATTTCCTCATTCCTCCCTTTTTGGGGGAGTTGCCAAGCTATCTCTGTCTGCCACCCCACCCCTGTCCTCCCTTTCCTCACCCGCCAATTCGACACGCCTGTTCTCTGAGAGAAAGGGGCAGCTTCAGTGAAACGCCAGGGATATTTTGCAGGCATGTGAATCCTGTGGAGACGAGAATCTTGTGAAGTGAAGGACATTTTTTTTTCTTTTTTTTCTGTCTGTGTTTACTAAAGTTTACAGACCGGCTGACGTTCCCTCTTCGCTCTCTACCTTCAGATGTCTTCCTGTCATATTTGGTGACCTCCTTCCAGAAACAGACTCATGTTCAGATATTACATTATTTTCTTGGGTCTCGGTAGAAAATTATAAATCCTATTTAAACCCCCCCCCCGTTGGAGTACCTACCGCCAAAAGAAAGGGAATGACTCAGTGGAGATATTTCAGCTCATACATATACTTACATTCATCTTCATGCACCTTAGATCTGTCTGTGCGTTTGTATAAAAAAAAAGAAAAGAAAAAAAAAGAGAGAGATAAAAGGTGTGCTTGGTCGGTCTTTGCGTCACAATTTGAGGTTTTGGGCTGTGAAGGAGGGACAAGATCGGCGAGAGAAAATAGGCGGGACGGACATTGAAACGGGAAACAGGTCGAACGAGAAAGAAGGAAAGATAATGAGGGAGGAAGACCACATCTCGGTGGCGATGGAAAGGAAAGAAAAGTGTCTGCTGACGCACGAGCGTTGCAGGGATGAGTGTGCAGTGTGTGCGTGTTTCCCAGAGCTTACAGACAGCTCTGAATAAATCATACCCCGTCGATGGCATCACAGGCGGTTATTGCCGTTATTGTTTGTCCGATCTGAGAACAATCAAGACCAGTCGGGGGAAGATCACCCTTCAGTTTTCATCTCTCTTGTCTATCCAGCAGCTGGGATAACTTTGTTTCCTTGGAAACTACAGCATGCGAAACAGAGAGACGGGATGAGTGTTGTTAAGATGAGTGGGTGGGTTCGCATCAGGCAGGGAGCTGCAGCGCTTCAGACGAGGTCAACCCCAACTGTTGGTCCCCTCGATTAAACATTCTGTTTTCTGCTCAGCTGCCACTCACACAGTCAGTCTGAAAATGACTTCTATGAGCTTCCCATCCTCTCTTTATGAGGGCAGTCTTTTCTTCCCAGAGTTTGTGTTTCCTCTTAATCCCCATTAGCGAGGGATATTTTTTCCACTCCTCATTTTGCTCATTATTTTTTTTCTCCACTGTGTCAAATATGTCGAAACTCATCCTCTGACTTTTCCTCGCTCGTGCATTCACAGACTGGTCCTCGCTCCTTTTTGTATCTATTTCATGTTAATCCTCGCAAGAATGCCCCATTTCAATAATAGGGGTCTATTTATCTTCTCCGTGCCTCGTTTCTCGCCTCCTGTCTCGACAGGACGGGGCAGCCGCTACCATGACGATGCCTTCCCTTTTTTGCCCACAGATGACCATCATCTGACCGTTTAGGCATCGGTTCTTATCTCCTTCTCCCCACCGTAGACAGCCGGCGATGTGGCGACGTGCCTAAATCCCCGCCCCAAATGGTTTGGCACAAGTTGTGGATGTAGCGGACCGGTTGGCGAGCATACTTTTGTCCGTGGGCGTGTTTGATGTGGGCCGAGGCCGACGGGGAGCTGTGATCCGTTGATGTGAAGAGCAGGGGGAATCTTAGCAGCTATGTTTACAATGCTACAGAGCAGCATAAAAAAAAAAAAAAAAGGCTATACGTGGAGCAGACAAGCAGCGATCAAACAACAGTACATGCATTGATTTTTCTCTTAACTGCAGATTGACTGGATCCGCCATCTGCTTCTTCGGCGCTTGTCTGGGCTTTGCAGATACTGTTTACCTCGGCTTCGGGCTAGATGCTGTTTCAAGGTGAAGAACTCCTCAAGAGGAATAAAAAAAAAAAGTTTTGAAGAGGGAAACTTGATCAGCTGCCGAGGGGCGAGAACAGGACTGAAAATATATCAAAACCAGAAGATAAAATTTTAGTGTTGTAGCTTTAATTCAAACAACTCCTCAAATGCTCTTTTTTTTCCCACCTGCTTAAAGCGTCCTTGAGTCAGACATTAAACTTTCTTCTAAAACCCTAAAATGTGCAGTGAAAACCTCGGGTTGATAGCAAAGCTAAGATTTTGCTGAAGCATTTTTGTCCATCAACTCACCACCACCGTGCCGGTTCTTCATGGCTGCAAGCTCTGAAAATGAGATTAGCCAACAGGCCGCCGACAGTTGTGCCGGGTCTGTGCTGCTGCCTCCATGGCAGCGTGGTCTGTGGCGGCAGCTGTTCGGGGTTTTGGTGTTGGTGTCGAGAGCCAAACTGCCATCCAAACCCGGAGGGGCTGCAGAGAAATGAGCTTTAAATAGGATTTGACAGAAAGAGGCGACAACAATGCTCCGTTTGACACTGCTTGTTTCTACATTAGATTTTTTAGAAAAGTAATGATTGATGGAACAAAATTGAAACAAGTGATGAATTTTAAAGGCAACTTGGGTCCTGAGTTAACACTTTAACAGAGTGGATCCTGCACGCTTTAGCGATATTAAATCACGAATTCAGGCAGTGGGCCATTTTGCATTAAAGCACTTCATTTTTATCTGCTTCATTTTTTGATGATTTTGTGGCACATATCCAGGCAGGAGCCCATCCCTCTGCTGAATTAATGAACACTCTTTGAGCTTTTCTAGCAAAAATATCATAGATGGATGTTTTCTGATGTCAGCAGTTAGCACGAAACTGACCAAAGTGTCTCATTTGAATTACGCCAAACTAACAAAACTCGCTTCTCTCTCCGACTTCAAGGCCTCGAGCCGCTCGCTCCGTCCGTCTGTCTTTCTCGGTTAGAGATGAGTTCACTCTCGCTGCCGCACGCTGCCATTTGCAAAAATAAGTTTGCGCTTTAAAGTTAAATGTCATCTCTGAAATGTGACCACAGGGGTGTCGGTTGAACTCATCAAGAACCGGGGCGTGTGTGTGTGTTTGTGTTTAATCCCTGCCAAGAGGCGTTTAGCTGAAGTTAACTCCCGACTCTCAGCAATCAGGCTGCACATCTGGCCAACACTGTTTGCATATCTGCATGTATGCGGCCTCGCTTTTTAAAAAAAAAAATCATTTCTGTATGTGTGCAACAGACAGAGTGACTCATGCCAGATAAGGGTGTCTGCTGAAAGACGAGCCAGGTTACCTCTTACTTGGACTGTTGCCCCCCCATTATCACCATGGCAACAATCCCCTTGATGAGTTCCTGAAATCCCTAACAGCCTGAGGTCATCAACCAGGATAGGATAAGAGGTGAGGGAGTGCAGGGGGGGCACACGATTGGACAAATCACACAATGGTTTTCCACTCGATTCTGCTGGCAGAAGCTGACCTGAGTAAAGGGAAAAAAATGCAAAATCTCTCATAGCTTAGTCATTTTCAGTAAATGTCACAGCGCTGCAGAGCTGAGAATAGTGACACACACACAGTGCACACCGTTACCCTGCACACACCTCCATTTTTCTTCCAGTTTGTTTGTGGGTTTTTTTGTTGTTGATTTGACTGGCTCATCACAGTATGCAGACAATTTGCATAAGGAGCAGAAAGGGAAGACAGGAAAAACACTTTTTTTTTTTTTTTAGCATAAGCCAGGAATGAAACATGAATGAGAAATATTTTTTTTTGGACTGAGCAAAAACAGGAAAACAAATACAAGAAAAAAAAAGAAGCCGTCCTTTCTCATATAAAGCCAAGGCTTGATAAACGGAGACTGGAATCCAGAAAGAGACATTTAGGAAATAATCCTTGCAGCGCTGCTCCCAGTGACAGTCTTATTGGATGAAGCGTGGTTATGACACGGGGGAGGGGAGGGAGGTAATAAGCTTGACCGAACGGCTTTGATTTTTCACTTTGATGAGGGAGAGTCATCACGGCGATGAAATGAAAGCCGTCCAAATGAAGGGAGCAGCTCATCTCCCCTGTAAGAGAAAATCTATACGCCAGTGACAGTTTAAGCAAAGATGAGGTTGTGATGTTGAAAAGGCCGGAGCGGCGTCTGTGCCGCCTCGACGGGCGTGCGATGGATTCAAAGAGGCCGATATCCAGAGATCCCGTCTTGCTCAAGGACACTCCAGCAGACTGCGGCCCACTCAGGAGGCGTGAGAGATTTATGTTAGCAGACAGACTAATCACAGCTCTGGCCCGTAGCTTGCTGTCAGTTTTTGTCACGATCAAACTTGAAATCAGTAAAGCAATAACCAGGGCTGTAGTGGAGGTTAAATGTGTATAAATGCCATTTACCCGTCTCTCAGAGTGGGAAGCAGAATTTACGCGGCCCTCCCTCAGACTGGACACCTGTTGGTCCGCTAGAACTCGGCCCGCTTCCTTCATTTCATCCACAAACCGGGTTTTCCTCTGGAGCATCTGAGTCCAACTTGTACCGCACAAGAATTAAAACACGTCTCATGCCGAAGCTGGCGTTGTAAACTCTGCGCTGCAACTTGATTCAGAGTTCAGAGGAAAGATGTTTGACGTCTTTGTTGTTAATAGTAACCTGTCAAATGAAAGACCACAGAGTAAGAAGAATATCACTTTTTAAACATTCAGTTTTTCGGCTTCGTTGTCACTCTGCAGCACATAAAATGTTTTCACGCCGCGCAAAGTTGTTAATCCGCAACGACTGTAATTAACACTGTGCGAGTTTGAGCACCGCTTGATGAAAACTCGGCTTGCAAAAGTGAAATTTAAAGGAAAAGACTCCTTTGAGGGCGAACTTATTGATTCTTTAAAGTGATTTGAATGCAAGCGAACACAAGGTTGTAGAAAATGACAGACAAATCTCTCACCTAAGGGACTAACTCTATATAACAAACAAGCTTTTACTGTCTTCTCTCTGAACCTCCTGCAATTTGTGAGCATTTCCTGCTTCTGTCACATTTCACTCACTGATTAGTCACTTCAATGTAAAGTCCTGCACTTCTATGGAAACGGCACAGCTGTGGCTAGAAGTAGAGGAAACTTATAAGAGTCTTCTATGTGGTATGACACAGTGGTGTTGCCATTAATCATGAAAGAAAACCAAAAAAAAAAAATCATTTAGTATTTAACAACCTGGATTTTTTCCCACAGCTGTTACCAAAACTGGAAAAAAAAACAGGTGCCTCCCGTGCTTTAGACATTTAACTCATTTTTAATTTGTTTTCAGACAAACACAGCCTGTAGTTCAACCCGGTTCAGTGTTTTTGCCATGTGACTGTTATTCACAGCTGAGTCAGCCATAGCTTCACGGTTGTACACTTCTTCCTTTTCCCCCAAATCTGTTTAGAAGAAATGATTCATTTTTCATCCATTGATTTTTAAATGAGACAAATAAAATCAAGTGATGAAATATCACAATTGTCAGCTTAGATTTAGTCAAGTTCCCTGACAGAAAACAAATCTGATCAATTTTTACTGTTTTTGTCGTTTATTTCAGTGACGACTCGGGTAATTTGGGGATTTTTTTAAAAAGGAAAACATGAATTTCAGACCTGCCAGCAGGTTAAGAGGTGTTTTTATTAGCATGGGCTGAAATTGGAAAACACACTTTCAAATCAGTCACTTATGCTCCTCTGTTATACTCAAAACCCTGATCAAACATAAAGACCACACGCTGCAGACTGTACAGTGATTGCAGATGGATTTTCAGTCATCAGGAGCCTGTGATAGCGGTAGGCTTCACCCTCCTTTCATTCTACCGCCCTGGTAATAAGCCATCTTTAACCACAACAACATAACCTTAAGGATGCCGTAACAATTCCAACATTTGTGTCGTTTTTACCACCGATAACACGCTTCAAATCTTAATTTGCTCGGGTTTTTTTTCCTGAGCTGCTTGCTTCAGTTGATTAGAACAGAGGGAATAAATTAAGTGTAAAAAATGCAAAACTGTAAAGGAGACAGAGTGATGCTGCTGCTGCTGCAGACAGGTTTGGAGTTGCGTTGCTAGGTAACAGCACGGTGCCGGCTTTATTTGCTTTCAGTTATTGATATCAGCAACAGGAAATAACCATTTGGAAGGTTTATGGTTGAAAGTGCAGTGGTCTAAACTTAGCAGGAGAGCGGGCGTTTTCTAAAGAAGCATTTCCGCCGCGGTGTGAGGGCTGTCTGGGATGTATCAGGTCACAATCAGTTCTTCATTTTAATGTTTTATTTGGTGAAAATGTCATTTTTTAAGAACACATCACAGCATGATTTAACCACCTTAATGCTTAAATGGGCATTTAGTATTGCCATCAAAAAGCTGAGACAGCCTCCAAACACTGGATCCTACATTTCCCACAATGCAACACCAGTCACATCTTTTTGCTTCCCTGCCTTGTAAATCCTCACATCGCTTAAACTCCACGCACAGCACAAGCTATTTGCTCTGAATTATAAATGAAAGTCTCCGAAACCTGACTTCATTTCGATGACCTCACCATGACATCACGGTAGGACTGATCACGGCGAGTCAGCTGATTTATAACGACAGCAAAATTGGTGAAGTTGCCCTCGAACGTATCTTGAGCAAGCCTGGAAAAATCAGAACCATCAGTCTGAATAGATCACTATCGGCCTCCGTGCCCTCCTTCCCGCACGCGCACGCTAACCGCCAACACATGTTTGGAGCGTTCAGCACACGCGTGTGTGTGTGTTCTGCACAGATGTGTTTCTGCAGGGCTGTGTTCCCCCACCATCACCCCTCATCTGTTGTTGTGCTCACAGAGTAGCTGACTGGCTGCTTGTCCACGGGGCTTACATGCCTTCACAGCTCTGGACCCCCGCCAGCCCTGTGGCTTCCACCCATTGATCTTTTCCAAGAAACATTAGCGGCAAGCAGGCCGGAAATCAAAGAGAGGAGGGTGTTGGGGAGGAGGGGGGTGCACAGAAAAGAGTTTTACTGGGATCCCTTTTTTTTTTTTTTTTTGACTTTGTTCATTTCTTTCTTCTTTCTTTCTGATGCCTCCTACATGGCTCTTGGAAGTGTTTTAGAACGTATGGAGAAGGTGTCTTCTGTTCGACTAATTCGTTGTGAAGTCCATAACTGTGAAGAACATTGCGGCTAAATGGGGCTGAAGACTTCACAGCTTCAAATCAAGAAGTTCTTGAAAAGGGGGTTTTGAAATACGATGTCTCCCATCGGGCTGTCGCCTTGGCTGTAAACATGTTATTATTCTCTCCGCGCCGGTGACGGAAAGCGTCCGCATTCCACAAACTGAGCAATCACATTTACTGCGACAGCTGCATCGATGTGTCACCGCTGATTGGAAAGCACTCAGTCTCAGACCGCAAGCGGCGCTCCCAAACAAGTGCGCGGCCCGAGCCTCTTTGCCTGCGCTTAGTCGGTGCTTAACGCTCGGCTCTGTTGGCGTTGCACCTGTTCTGATACAAACCAACAGTGTTAAAGGGTCGGTTCACCCACAGGAAACATTTCCCCGCTTCTGTACAGCGCTGCGTTTTCAAAACTTGGTTTTATCGGGCCAGACTTTGTCATGTGCTCCTTGGTGGTGGTTCCTTGACAATACTTTCTACCAAAGAAACAGTCCTCATGGCATCTTGGAAACCCACAACAGATCTTCCATCCACATTAGGTATACAGACTGGGACATGTCAAAACCAGGCTAATGAAACCAACAGCTATCTGTACAGCTAAATATGACTGGAAGTAAGTACAGACGTTTGGCTGAATTAATCCTTTAGAGCATTAAAAAGTGTTTCTTCCACTGAGAAATAAAACCTCCCTTTTGTTTACAGTCTCGTTAATGAGTAAATCAATTGGCCGCGGTCCAGTTCTGTTCAGAAAGAGCAGCCAAAGTGTGGAGAATAAGTCGCTCTAGCACACAATAAAAGCGAGCGCCACCTCAGCGAAGACTCGGCTGAGCAGCAGCGGTGTCGAACGTGAACATTCGTAAATAAAGACTTCTGTAAACACGTCGGGTTTTATCGCGTGAATGTGTTGGAGAGGTGAGTGTTTGCAAGTCTTCTGAACGCCTTCCAGGACAGATTGCTGGCTTCGGGGTGGGAGCGGGACGAGTCTGGTCCAGGAGTCCATATGTTGTGACACGGCAGATCAAAAAGATGAAAGTCGGCGTAGCACCGCGGAGACAGATGGACGCTGTGACACATACGTCCGCGAAAAAGTCGGGCAAACAGACACCTGGCTGCAGATCAAATGCAAAAGTATACGGACGTCTTCGTCAGCGCGCTTCACAGTTTGGCCTCTTTGCTTCTATTTATGGTGATTCTTGAAAACTAGTTTGACCCTTAACTCATCAGATGTTTCTAAACCGTGACTGGTGCACAGAAATATGTGACATCACTTTTCCTAACTCAGTCCCACCCAACCGGTAACAAGACCCTCAAGAAAACAGGAGGATGAAACTGCAAAAACAAGAATTTTAGCATCTGTGTTCTCTTAATGCATAGAAACAGGCATTTAATGTGGTATTTTAGGCTGCTACCCACACGCACTGAGGTGTAATGCTCGCCCGTCTGTATGCTCTCGCCCATGTAGGTTTATTCCTTCTTTGTGCAACTTGTGTGTGATGTCCGTAAGCCTCCCTGCAACTCTCACAAACTTGTCGTTCCTTCGCAGCCCAACCTGAGCCGAGACGAGAGAGGAAGAGGGTGACGGGGGGTTTAGAGGAAAGGCAAATGAAGGGGAGGGGAGACTAAAAGGGAAAAGCCTCCGGAGGGGGTTTGAATTCCCCGCAATCAGAATCAGAACCAGAGACCGAGATGGAGAGAGAGAGAGGGAGGGAGGGAGTGATCCTTACAATCACAGACTTTCCACATTTAGAGCGTCTCCCCCCTTTTCTTGTTTTTTTTGTTTTTTTTGTTTTGGTTTGCACTTACGCTTTTATGTGAAGTCAATCGATGTGTCTTTCCTTTTGGGGTTTGGTTTTAATATTGTTTTTCGGTGGAGGTCTGAGAAACAGAGCGGGATAGGTGATGAGTGTCTCTGTTTTTCTATTTAACTTTGTTTTTGTACTTTTTTTTTTTTTGGTAACTTCATCCACTTGGCAGCTTGATATTTAATATCATTTTAAGGCGGTGTGTGTAAGAGTGTGTGTGTGTGTGTGAGAGTGTGTGAATGTCTAAGTGTGAGCTCACAAGCACTGTCTCAGCCTACTGCTAGGTAGACTTCCACTCCACCTCACAGATCTTTTACCTCCTCCTCCGACGACGACAAAGGGGACTTCATACTGTGGCGGCCATCTTGTTTTGGGATTGTTTTGTTTTTGTGATCGTCTTTTCCTCGTGACCTTAACAGCATCACACAACCGCTCGACTTCTGGGGGTTTTTGGTTCGGATGCGGTTTTATTTTTGTCTTTGGGTTTTTAATGCACACATGGCAGATGCACTCACGGAGAACTACTATAACACACGCTCACAAAGACACACACAGACACACACACAGTACAGCCTCTGTTTTGTGTGTGTGTTTTTTTTTTTCTTGCTCTGATTGCGGCCATGTTCTCTGCTGGTCAAACAGTCAGACTACTGTAGGCGCTCTGTTTGAGCCCTCGCTGTTATGTGATCGCTATAAAGGCGTGCCATTGTGTGACCAAAAAACATTTTTGTCATCGCTCAGCCACTCAGAACCAGTTCGGCCGGAGTCACGACCCGAGAACAATCCAGGATGCAGGAAAAAAAAAGAAAAGAAAAACTGCCATTTTTGCCCTCGTCTTTTCTTTTTCGTGTTCTGTGTCTGTCACACAGCAAAGTGGTGCTGGTTTCATGCTTTTTTGTTTTTCTGCTATCACTGATTTCCTCTGTGTGTGTTTTTTTTCCCCCCCTCCAAATAGACAAAGATGTCAAAAAACAAATATATATATATTTGGGGAGAAAAAAAAGCTTTTTATTTGAGTTGCATGCTGAAATACAGAAAGTAATTCTGCCTGTTAAACTATGAATTGCACCTTATTGGAGGGATGTGCTTCTTTTTTGTTGTTTTTTTTTTGTTTTTTAATGCATACATAAAAATATATATATGGGGGATGTAAACTGTTTTATTTCTAATTTTGATAAAGGATGTAATTGTTAGCTAGTCAGGCAATGTATGTATCTTAAACAGGGTTATGATTTTTTCTTTTTTTTTTTTTGGTGATAATGCTGATTTTAACTGATTCAGTCACTGGTGTTTGTTGCAGGACGGCTTCACTAAGCAGACGGTGATCCTGGTGAGCAAAAAAGGCTCCGCCGATTTCAGAAAATTTCCAGTCTTTGCTCCATGAAACTTCTCTGATTCTTTGAGAGACGACACAAAGTGTTTGTCCAAGAGGTTTAATGGGAAAAACATGGTTTCCTTACAGACGCTGAGCAGAAACAGGTTTCTCCGCCAGCTGACGAATTCTGCAATTAGGAACAAAAGCGTCTGGCTGATTGCTGCTGCTTAGTGAAGCGTCGTCTGCATCTACCCACACTGGCCTGTCCTCACACAGTGACCACTAGGAGGCGATCTGCACGTCTTCCCAAATACATACACTTCCTCTGCCGCCTTCCGTCCATCTTGTCCTTGATTTTTAAAAAAAAGGACAAATAACACTGATGAAAGACACCATGTTGTTCGGACACACACACACACAACAATACAGTGTTGGCAGATGAGTGGCAGTCGGTGTGGTGCTGCCACCCGGTCCAATGTCCCCGGGGCAGAGGACTGTCTGCAGCCAATTAACCAACAGGGCTGTTTGCCAGTTCCGTATCCATCTAATCCTCTCCACCCACCCGCCGGTTTGCCAGAATTAGCCCTCCGCTCTTTAGAGACTTTGTCGGGGTTAAAATGAAAGAAATAATATGTTTTACAACGGGAGAGGGATGATGAAAGTCGGTTATTTGTTTGGGTGTATCTCTATTGGGTCGAGGCACTTTTGTCTATTATTTTATAAACGGTGAGATCACATCCTGTACAGAGCGGTCGGAGCACATTTGCAAAAGCTATGGAGTGCAGAAAGAGCGTTACTGGACATTATTTTTGACACGACGGCTACACGCCCTGCTCCACACGGCGGTGATGTACAATAACACAACCTGTATCCCCTGCCTCCCCCTGTCCCCATGCACTGATAATGATTGTAAATGGTTGCATAGTTTTATTTTTTATATCATTGTTGGGGCTTCATTTTGTTTCTGGGGTTGTTTCTTTTTGTTTTTATTTTGTGCTGTTATTTTTGAAATGGTTTGATGGGTCTCTTGTGGGAAAGTTTGTGTGTGTGTGAGAGTGTGTGTGTGTGTGTGTGTGTGTGTGTGTGTGTGTGCTGTAGCTTACTGTACGTGACAGATGAGTAGAAGCGATTGGAGGCGTTGTTTCGTGGCTCTGTGTTCAGCTCCCGATGCACATCAGCCCTTTGCCTGTGTTCATCATTGTGCCAGTGTGTTCAGGTGTTCCCTTGCGCCTACATCCATTCATCCAAATGAAGAGAAAAGGAAGCGGAGATCAAGAGGAGAAGGCAGACTGCCTTTTCCCTCAGGGGGGGAAAAAAAAAACAACAACAAACAAACAAAAAAAAAAACCCAACACATATGAGAGAAGATACTTTTGAAAAAAAGGATATTTTTCTCCTCTGCGGGGTCACAAAGAAGAGTGTACATTTATAAGTTAATTGAAAATGATGAATAAAAAAAAACAACGACTCATTTGTTCTCTATATGAATGGCTGTATGTTAACCATGAACAAAAAGTAATGAGTTCTATGACAAAGACATATAATAAATTAATTTTAAAATTTTAATCGCCGCTTGTTTCTGATTTTAAGGCATCTGTGGAGATGCTGGGGATGGACTGTGTGTGTGTTAGTGTGTGCGTTAGTGTGTGTGTGTGTGTGTGTGCGCAGATGTTGCACACTGTTAATAGATTACGGTGATTTGCATCATCCATCCCTCATCTCACTAGAGGGCAGCACTGCAACACACATCATTACATCTCATTAGGAGGCATCACAGTGCAAACTTTCTATTGCTTTGGATGCTTTTTAATAAACTCCTGAGGGAAACAGAGGTGTTATATTGGATTACATGCGGTGCAGAACTCCACATTACAAATTACAAATAAACATTTATGCTATTCGATGTTGACCCTCTTTTATTTCAGCTATGCAGGTTGTTCTACATTTCGGCACTAAGACACAACTTCCCTGCTGATACTTTCATTAATACTAACCAGTAGGGTTTTAGTTTCTTGGTGTTTTCTGCTCCTGCCACATTTTCACTCACTCCGGGCTTGTGTTGTTTTCCCTGCAATGTAAAGTCTTGCACCTCTGGCTGGAAGTAGAGAACTCAAATATGTCCTCTGGCAGTAAAGCAAAGTTATAATGCCATAAATAATCCAAAGTAAAATAAGCATAAATTGAATTTCTATGATTATTTTCTAAAACTTCAAAGCCTACAATCATCAGTGCCCATCTGTGTGTGTGTTCCTAAAACTGGTGGTGACTCGAGATAGTAGAAATATTTGACATAATAAATTTGTTCACACACTTTTCAGCTCTCTGGAAACACAACCTGCATTTTACCCAGTCTCAACTAAAAAGTCCCTTAATATTGTTTTTTTTACTTGTTTGTTTATGTGACTGTTGGTCAATAATGGCTTCTCGATTGCACCAATGAGGGCACTTTTTTTTTTTTTTTTTTTTAAGAGTTCTATTTGATTTCTTTTTGTGCAGCTTCTTAAATGAGAAATCAGGATGAACTATGTGGACTTTTGGCTTAGATTGAGGTTATTTTCCACACAAAGCCTCACATCACACATAATCTGTTCAAGGACCGTTGGAAGGAAAGTTAAAAATTGACTATTTTTTTTCTGTTTTCATAGTTAGTGGTTGTGGTAAATAGTGTAATTTTGTCCTTTTTAACGATAGCATGCCTTTCAAAACTGATAGCTTTTGAGGTTCAAAAGGTTTTGTGAATTTCCACAATGTGATCACAATCTAAAATACACAAAGGTTTTGACACAATCCCCTCTAAGATGCAGACACAAGCTGAGTTACGTTGGAGGAACTTTGCTTTGTTTGTGAGAAAATCTGTCCTTTAAAATGAAGCAGCAGTCAGGACAGTTCGCTCTGACTAGCAGAACGATGCAGAAAGATGCAGGGAGAAACGCCAAGCCGGGCTCTTTTTTAATATACATGTGTGTAAAAAAATAATGAGTTGTGGTTTCACAGGGAGTTACATGAAATTTCACTATTGGCCGTGCACGGCGACTTTCTTGAGCCGCAAGCCGATTGGTTCGCCAAGAGTCGGTTGCTCCGTGTAATTCCCTTTTAAAGCCACAAAAAGATTTATTTTGGAGGCTTTTTTTTTTGCCTTCATTTGATAAGGCAGGGTAGAGGCGGTCAATGTAGGAGAGGAACATGCAGCAAAGGATCTGGCCAGCTGGGAATCAAACCTGGGCTCCACTGCTTGGAGCCTATGTGCCCCTGTGCTGTGCTTCATTACCGCCTGGCTACCAGGTCAACCCAGCCTGCCACTGTAAACACAAAGAGGGGAAACTATTTCCTGAAATTTCAATAATCAGTTTGCCAAAAACCAACTGGCATGCTGAATCTGGGCTTTTCAGCATTTGCCCACACTGTCTGCTTGGTAATCCAGACTAATCAACACAACCAGGTTGGAAAACTGAGCCA